ATAATAAATTCCAAAATAGACTGAAGATGGAAGGTGTTAATCATAAAAAGTCTGCACCATATAGGCCACAACATAATTCCTTTATAGAAAGACGAGGCCAAACAATACAGGCAATGGCTTGTACTATGTTGTCGGATTCAGGATTACCTGAAACTTTGTGGGGAGAAGCAATAATGTGTGGTAATCATATATTGAATAATGTTGTTAACTCAACAACAGGTGAATTACCATTCACACGGTGGCATGGTAGAAAACCTGACCTAAGCTACATGCACACATTTGGAGCACCAGCATGGGTGCATATTCCTACACAACTGAGACATAAGGGGCAGCATAGGGCTAAAAGGTTATCCTTTGTAGGTTATGAATCTAATCACAAATCATACAGATTCTGGGAAAAAGGTACATCTAGAGTTTACTGTAGTGCTAGTGCAAATTCCTTGAACATGTAGGATGGGAAAAACTGGAGCAAGATTCAAGTAAGGATGTAATCATAGAAACCTGCAAAAGTCCAAAACAACATATCAGTAATAAGAAAAGTACAATTAAAGAGGAAGTACAGGAAGAGCACATAGGACCAGAACAGGAAGAATGATAAAACAAATAATGACTGTTGGAAGCTTAAAAAGAGTCTCTATGGATTAAAACAATCTGGTTACGAATGGAACCAATATATTGTTAAGGAGTTAAACAATATAGGGTTTAAAGCAGGTTTAGCTGATCCATGTGTATTTAAGAAAGAGACAAATGGATCAGTGTCATTATTATTGTTGTTCACTGATGATATTGCCTTAATCACAAAAACTAATAATGAAGCTACTGAAATAATATCATTATTAGGTAAGAGGATAAAATTAAAACAATTAGGAGAGATAAAACAGTATCTAGGATTAACAATAAATAAAGCCAAAGGTGGCTATAAGATATCTCAAGAGGATAAGATTTATCAATTACTAAAAACATACAAGATGGAACTTTGTAAACCGGCAAAAACTCCAATGAGTCAGGAATTTGGCCACACTGATGCTCAAAGTCCAAAATTCGATAAGACTATCTATCAGTCGCTAATTGGTAGTTTATCGTACATTAGTAATTGGTCAAGGCCAGATATTGCCTATAGCGTTAATCAATTGGCACGATTCAACGCTGAACCACTGAATGACACTGGCAAGTGACAAAGCGTATATTAAGATATCTTAAAAGGACAATGCACTATGCATTGTATTTGGAGCCAAAAGATGATTTGATTTTAAGTGCATATGCTGATGCAAGTTTTGCAACAGACATAAACACTAGGAAATCAACTTCAGGAACGGCTATACTGTTAGGAAAAGCACTGATTGGTTGGAGGTCAATTAGACAGCAACACATAAGTATGTCCACAATGGAAGCAGAATTTTCATGTCTATCTTTATTATGTACTGATTTAATTCTGTATAAACAGTTGTTATTGGATATGGGAATAACTGTTAATGATTCCCTTGTAGTGTATGAGGACAATCAAGCAGCCATACGGATGGCTACAAATATTGCTGTGAAAACAAGATCTAAGCATACAGATCTTAGATATCTGAATGTAAGGCAATCTGTAAAAAATGGTTTAATAAGACTGGAGCATTGTATGACTGAACAAAATATTGCTGATCAATTTACAAAAGCCCAAGGTTCAATCAAACACAAAGAAAGTTGTGATGACTATGGGTTAAGGTTGTAAATAGATATATATATTACGATATTACCCAAAAGGGGAGTATGTTAGGAATAACAAGGTTACCTAACGTAGTTTGGGTAAAATAATATATATAAACATTTGTATCCCTAACAAATGTGTATCACTGGAACGAGTTCCTGGCTCTTGTCTCGTTATTGTATTCTGATAAGGTAATGCTTTCATATTGGACAGGTGGTGTTCCCTCTGCATATTGGAGAGACCAATGAGTATTGTATTGTATTGCACATAGACTGGATAATGTGAAGGTCATTATCAACATAGAGTATACATGGTATTAAATAGTTGAAAGTGACAATCCTATGAAGACTGGGAGGATATATGTTATTTTAGCTTTTAAGTGGAATTGTCTTGCTTTTTTCTTTGCTGGGAAGTGTGTGTGTGTGTTTGTGCATAGGAACCCTAGCTATGTGATCTAGACATGATGTTAATGGCTATCTGAATCAATCAAACACAACAAATTGAGGCAATGAACAGCATGGGCGCACAATATCCATACTCTGGACATATGTAGGCAGATGGTCTAGAAAAAACAGCTAGCTTGGCAAAGCTGAGAGACATAGAAGAATGGGAAGACCAGGGATAACACAGATGGATGAGATCAAGGAGATTATAGAATGTAATTGCTGTTAATTGTTACTAGGGATAGGCTGAGATGGAAAGCATTTCTCTATACAAATGAAGATGTTTGAATGGCCCTTATCGAACTATCACTGTTAACAAAATCACAGGAATGCTCTGTTAATTTTGTACAAATGCTAATATATGTGTTTATGTATTGGAAAAGAGTAGGCAGCATAAAAAACATTAAAAAAATAAGATTCCCCCCCTTTACCAACAACCTCAATCAAATTCTGAACATTACATCAAAATACCTCTGAAAAGCTTGGCTGGCTGATGCAGAATATCACTGCCTGACCAGGATATAAATAATCTGCCTTCTCCTTTAGAAAAATCAAAATAGTGCAGGCAATAGTATTCCTTGTGACATTCTGTTGAAGTGAAAGTTTGAAGAAGCAGGATAGAATATTGATACTTTTGAATTTTGGCATTGGAGAAGACTCCTGGGAATACTGTGTTTCTCAGAAAATTAGGCCGGACCTTAATTTTCGATCGGCCAGAAGAAGCGGCCTCAGGGCGAGCGCCCACACACACTCCCCTCGCCGCGAGGCCGCTTCTATCAGCTAATAAAGGCTCCCCGAAGGCACAGTCCCCAACCACTTTGGGGCGAGGCGTGGCTGCCCGTGTCCCCTCGCCATTAGGCAGTGTCTTTCGAGCGACGGAAGCTCCCCAAGGGTAGTCACCAGCTACTTCGATTGGCCAGTAGAAGCGGCCTCGGGACGAGTGCACATGCACACTCCCCTCACCCCGAGGCCACTTCTACCAGCCGATTGAAGTGGCTGGTGACTGCCCTTGGGGAGGTTCCATCGCCCAAAAGACACTGCCTAATGGCGAGGGGACACGGGCAGCCATGCCTCGCCCTAAAGCAGCTGGGGACTCTGCCTTCGGGGAACTTTCATTGGCAGATAGAAATGGCCTCATGGAGCGGGGATTGTGCGTGGGCGCTCGCCCCAAGGCCACTTCTACCGGCCAATTAAAGCAGCTGGTGACTCTGCCTTCGGGGAGCTTCTATCGGCTGATGTTCTATTGGTAGTAAATCGGGGTATTCTAGCCTATGATACCTGCAGGGCACTCCTAAAGGCAAGTTTTCTCCCCACACACTCCATCCTTCCCCCCATTTCTCTTCACCTCGTGTAGTTCTAATGAACGATGTGAGAAAGAGCAGGGAAACACATGGTTTAAATAGGCCTAAATTTTGGGGGTGGGGCTTAATTTCACCTCATACCTAGAAATCATGCTGGGCCTTCCTATTGGTGGTGGCCGTATTGTTGGAGAAACACGGTAGTATAGACAGCCAACGAAACAAATGAGGGGAACATTGAACAAATCAACATAGAGTTCTCACTCAGTGTACAAATGACCAGGCTCCAATTATCCAACTTCAAATATGTGTGAAGACCTGTCTCTCTGGAGAAGGTTCTAATGCTGGCAAAGGTGGAAGGAAAGGGAAAAGAATGAGCAATAACAAGGTGGATGGACTCAATTACAGTGCAATGGAGAAAAATTTCTCGGTATAGTTGCTAAGAGTCCACATTGAGCCATGATGGTGCAGTTGTTAGAATGCAGTATTGTAGGCTAAATCTATCCACAGCCAGGAGTTCCATCCTGACTGGCTCAAGGTTGGCTCAGCCTTCCATCTTTCTGAGTTGGTAAAATGAGGACCCAGTTTGTTGAGGGCAATATGCTGACTCTGTAAACCACTTAGAGAGGGATGTAAAGCAGGGTGAAGTGCTATATAAGTGTAAATGCTATTGTTATTGATTTGATAGAACATTATCAACCAATCAACGCTTCTGTAGAGATTTACTATAAAGAAAAGAAAATATTGCTTGTACTGAGCAAATAGCAAAAGTATGTTTGATAAAAAAAGACTTTACCCCCTTGTAAGCAGGGGTGGAATTCTACTGATTCGGACCAGTTCTATAGAACTGGTTGTTATGATTCTATGTGGTTTGGAGAACCGGCAAATCATGACCCTGGTTGGCTCTGCCCTCTCCACCCTCCCCTCCCCGCCCAGTCAGTCCTTATCATGCATGTGCGACATTGTACGCATGCCCAACATCGCTGACTGCATTCTCCCCTGCCCAGTCACTCCTTAAGGTATTTCTTTTTTCCCCCTCCCAGCAATCAGCTATTTCGATGATCAGCTGTGCTGGGATTTCCTCACTGTCTTACTGCTTCACTCAGGAGGTTTCTCTGAAGCCCAGGAGGCAAAAAGAAATGCGTGGGGAGGGTGCTGCCCGCCCCCCTGTGCTCCATTTTTTGCCTTCCTGGGCCCCAGGGAAGCCCTCTGGGAGCAAAAACACCCCCCCTCCAGGAGGCTTGCCTGAGGCCCAGGAAGGAAAAAACAAAAAACAAAACAAAAAAACAGGCAGATGGGTGTGCTGTAAAAAAAGAAGCCACGCCCACTCAGAGACCTAGCCACAGCCACCTAGCCATGCCCACAGAACCAGTTATTAAAAAATTTGAATCCCACCCTGCTCGTAAGTAACAATAATTTACATAAATGAACACATACATTAGCAATTTCATTATTATCAAAAGCAATATTGTCTGAAAAAGATAAACTAATCTGGCTACACTCTTTATTCCTGCTGCCTGACATTAAACGAGCAATTTATTCTTTTTAATCCAAACATTTTGTCCTTACCTTCTTCATCTGTAGCTGATACAAATTCCCTGGGATTATCTGTAGTTTGAACAGATCTCAAGAGTGATGGACAGATAATTTCTCCATTAGAACCTGTCAGAAGGATATTGAGTGAAGTGCTTTTATGGCTTTCTTGAAAATAAGAAGAAAGGGGTTGAGAGAAAGAGGAATAATATATCAATGGAAATAAATTCTCTGGTTAAAGAGAAAACCTAAGATTTAACCAGTATTGGAAATTCGCAACATTTAAATTCTAAATATTTCTCTATAGCTTACTGTTTCTTCTAAACAAACCCTTACAGGTAGTCCTTGACTTACAACCATAATTGCTAACAAGGCAGTTAAATAAGTTGCACCCAATTTTCTCCTTTTTTTGCCATGGTTGTTCCACAGTTCACTGCAGTTGTTAAACAAATCTTGCAGTTATTAGGTGAATCCTGCTTCCCCCATTGGCTTGGCTAAACTTACAAATGATGATCATATAATCCCAGCATATCATAAATACATGCCAGGGGCCAAGAACCCAAATTTTGATCATGTGACTGTGTGAATGATGTAATGGTTATATGTGCGAGGACTGGTTATAAGTCATATTTTTCAGGGCTGTTGTAACTTCAAATGGTCACTAAATGAATAGTTATAAGTCGAGGACTATGTGATGCCTCCGTTGGAGTCTGAATCCAAGGAGGAGGATGAACAGCTGACAGGGAGCAGGAAAGGCTCTGTTGTCTGTAGAGGAAACTGGGGAAGGACAAAGTCAGGCTGGGCAGAGCAGGGAGAGGTAGAACAAGGGAGAGGGGGTTCAGAGGAAGACCAAGGCCTACCCCCTCTTCATCCTAGGACACGCAGGGAAGAACAGAGAAGAGGGCAATGTGGGTTGCATGGCTTACGAGGGTGGAAAGGGCCCTGATTCTCTTCACAAGGCATACCTGGGAAGGGAGCTTAAAGGAGAGGTAGTTTGGGAGGGCGTTTGTTGGAAACAAACATTGAGTTTATCTCATATTGGCTGCTGTTATGTGAGTTCCTGGCATCCTCCCAACTGGTTTGATTTACTGCCCTGATACTTCACTTCTGGAACTCCTTATCTTGCCCTGCAGACCTTATCTTCTCTTGCTGAATTTATAGTTTAAAGTTTTCTGTTTATAACCTTTTGGACTGGAATATCTGTAGTCAAAGGCTGTTGCAGGTTCCTGGGAGAGTTTTTCTTCAGACCAGAGGTAACTAGAACATTAGGAGCAAAGTTGGAGCTAATAAAGAGACCCCTACTTATTGTTCTGGCTGTGTTGCCTTTATGCCACGCCCCAGGTCATCACAGATTATCTCTATTTTAGTGATTATATTCATGACTATCTGCAGACTTCATATCTGTAAATCTGCAAGTTTGACATATAATTTAAGAAAACTCAGCCATTTATATCATAATTTTTGGAGTATAAGACACACTTTTATCACCCACAAAACTGGGTGGAAATATCTGTGCTCTTATACAGTGAATGTTGCCGAAGCCCCACTCACCTGCCAGTCACCACCCTTTCGCGTTTGCCTCCCGGCAATTTGCCTCCTTGCATCAAACAGCAAACAGCTAGTTTCAGCTTCAGCACAGCCTGATTAGCATAAGCAGTTGATTGTCAGTTGGATCGGCCTTCCCATGATCAGCTGTTTCAGGCTGCAGGGATTGCCATTGCCTATTACTGCCTTCATGCCCCCATTTTTGGCCTCCACATCTCATTTTTGGCCTCCACCCCCCTCTTTTCAGCCTCTGTGACCCACATTTTCTGCCCATTCCAATCTCCGCCGCCTGGAACGGGCCAAAAACAGGCTGAAAATGGGATGCGGAGGCTGAAAATGGGGCATGTGGAGGTGGCAATAGGCTATGGCAATCCCTGCAGCCTGAAACAACTGATCATGGAGAGGCCGCTCCAACAGACAGTCAGCTGCTTCTGCTAATCAGGCTGTGCTGAAACTGAAACAGGCTGTTTGCTGCAAAGAGGTAAATTGCTGGGAAGCAGAGGCAGATTTTTTTTTCTTGTTCACCTCTCCAGGCACTAGGTGCCCCTTATACTTTGGAGCATCTTATACTCTGAAAAATATGGGTATAATCTTTAGAAAATGGAACCATTGAACAAAAACTGTTTAAAATAGAGCAATTCTAATTAATGGCCATTTAAGTTCATGCTATTGTTAACTAAAATTTATCTGACCTATTTGTTCCATGTTGTCAATTCCAATGGACACTTTTCTCTTTCTTTTCTTCCCGTCATTCAGTGCAAACTTGCCTGGATTTATTAGGGGTAGATAAAAAGTATCTTGGGAAGCCCTTAGGAGGCTGTCATTGATAGTTTGCTTCTGCTTGTTTCTATGATTGGTGTCTAAAACAAGATCATTTGGCAAAAGAGCCGACTGCTTATTATAGACATCCGTCTCAAATTTGACTTCTTTAAAACAAGTTCCTGCAAAGTAAGGAAACAGATCACTGTAGTTGTTGATCCACAATCAAAATATTAATATATCCAAATTAAAACTAACATGTTAAAAGTTTATGATTAATGTATAATCACATATAATGCAATTATTTATATGTCTACTCAGAAATAAACTGAATTCAGGTAAATATACATGTAACAATGGCCTTGATATCTACCTTGCAGAAAGTGTGGAAACTTTAGAATTATATAATGCTGACAATGAAAAACGCAATGCACTCTGTAATAGGTATCATTAAATTTTAGCTCATTTGCAATTGTTTAATGTTACTGTAGTAATGCATACACTAAGCTAAAAGGAGGACTAAAAGTAAACTTGTAATAAAATGGAAAACATCATCCATTTTGCACAATATTGACTAAATAACAGTGAAATTGATATTTACCCCCAAAGAAATGTGCAAATCCTTATACAAAAAGAATAAGAGTTGAACTAGTATAACAGTACACCATATATATCTCTGAGCTTGCAAGGTTAATCTAGATAGTTGTACCACAACTAACTGTAATGATCTATTAGATATTGACTTTACAGAAGATAACGTAGAAAAGGCATTACGTAATCTAAAACCATCCCTATCTATTGGCCCCGAAGGATTATGTGCATACTTCTTTAAAAAGCTTTCCTCTGCCATAGCAGATCCCCTAAGCATTATATATGATATATCATTCAGAACCAGCTCCTTACTGAACCTATGGTCTTTAGCTACAGTCATCCCTATCTTCAAAAAAGGTGACCCCAGCCTGGTTGAAAACTACAGACCAATCTCACTGTGTTGTGTCACATGCAAAGTCATGGAATCAATCATTAACCAATTCATCACCCTCCACTTAGACTCAAACAACCTACTCTCCAAAAAACAATTTGGTTTCAGGAAAAAATTGTCCTGCAACCTACAACTCCTACACTGCAAAAACATATGGACTACTCTACTCGACCAGGGTAAAGCAATAGACACAATTTACATAGACTTCTGCAAAGCCTTTGATTCAGTGATACATGACAAAGTACTGTTAAAACTAAACTCTTATGGCATTTCCGGATCCCTTCATAAATGGATTACTGCATTCCTGTCAAACAGGCAACAAATCGTAAAAATAGGGAACGCTATATTAAACCCTGCTCCAGTTAACAGTGGTGTCCCCCAAAGCAGCATTCTAGGACCCACACTCTTTATACTCTATATAAATGACCTTTGTGATCACCTTATAAGCAACTGCATCCTCTTTGCGGATGATGTTTACAACTATTCAACACCACTGACAATGCTACTGCTCTTCAAAGTGACCTTGATTATGTGTCTGAATGGTCAAACAATTGGCAACTCCAAATCTTGACCAACAAATGCTCTGTCCTATCACATTGGAAAAAAAAATCAGTACACCAAATACAAACTAGGCAGATATGACCTCATTGATGACCCTCACTCTGTCAAGGACCTAGGACTACTCATATCTAATGACCTAAATTCCAGAGCTCACTGTAACAGCATTGCCAAAAAGGCATTAAGAGTTGTAAATTTAATCTTACGAAGCTTCTCCTCTGGAAATATTGAATTGCTAACTAGGGCATACAAAACCTTTGCTAGACCAATACTCAAATACAGCTCATCTGTCTGGAATCCACACTGTATATCAGACATTAATACAATTGAGCAAGTCCAGAAGTATTTCACAAGAAGAGTACTACACTCCTCTGCTCGCAACAGAATACCCTATATCACCAGACTTGAAATTTTGGGCTTGGACAATCTTGAACTATGCCGCCTAAGGCTGGACTTAAGTGTAGTACACAAAATTATCTGCTACAATGTCCTACCAGTCAATGACTACTTCAGCTTCAATCGCAACAATACAAGAGCACACAACAGATACAAACTCAATGTCAACTGCTCCAAACTTGATTGCAGAAAGTACGACTTCAGCAACAGAGTGGTCAATGCCTGTAATGCACTATCTGACTCTGTAGTTACATCCTCAAACCCCCACTCCTTTAACCTCAAACTATCCACTATTGACCTCACCCCATTCCTAAGAGGTCTGTAAGGGGCATGCATAAGTGTACCATCATGTCTCCTGTCCCTGTCCTATTGTCCCCATTTAATTGTACCTATTTTCTGTATTCTTACTCATGTTTATACTCATACCTATTATTTTGTAAGAGATTGACAAATCAAATAAATAAAATAAAATAAATAAAAGAACTGGCTTGAACATTATGCACATTCTTGGAGTAAGTCTGGACTTTAGCTTTGTTTGAAATATACTGGCCCAAATAGATACGAATTTACATATATTGTGTGTCTGTAAAATTAAGAGAAAGGGAATGTAATCGATCTGGACAAAGGTAAATTGATATTGTGGAACTGACTCGATAAATGTGTGCAGTGCAGGGTAGTAAAGATTCAGTTTAAGTATGAACAAAGGATTGAAACTGTATCAGAAGCTATGAATGGGAGATTATAGGTTGTTTTAGAGACATACTTTCCTATATACCTTTGATGTGTGAAAATAGAAATTCATTGATTGTGGTAGTTCCATATTATAATCCAGTGAATTATGATAATGACAATTTTGGGGATTGTACAAGATTTTGAATAAATGTAAGTTAATGGAATAAATTATTAGGTCATGAATATCTATGCTCCTGAGATCACTTTGATGGCTAGAAGTGAGGAAAACTTTAAAAACTCTCTTGCTGAAGAGGCTGGTCTGCTGCTCAATAGTAAAGAAAACAAGCTAGTTAAGATTATGTCAACAGGCAATGCCAATCCAGAAAATCAAAGACATTCTTGGGAAAGGCAGATTAAGATTGTTTTCTTTAAGATGTGTGAAAAAGAGAGCAAGTAGTGATGAGGAACTGGAAGATAAAAATAGAGAGACCCACAAGATAAAGCTAGAGAAAGATGTGTTTGGAGTTTGGCAAGTGTTGTTCTGGTGGGAGCAGGACCCTTTGAAATGAGCTGACAGACTGCCTTGAATATATGTATCGTGTTTCAACCGAGAAGGTAACAGCCACCTAAACCAAGAGGTAGATATTTTAAGCAGACATCAAGTTATCAAACCTATTCTGGAAGTTTGGTTTTGCCGACTCACTACCCATAATGAGCACCCTTCATTCAAAGGGTGTAGCTGTACCTCTTGAGCTTTTTGCTTTAGCTGGAGACTCCAATTGAACCAGCAGTGGAAGGATCACAAGTTCTTTTGCAAGCTCACCGGGTTTTATTTTTTCCCTTTGAATGCTAGGTGAGCTTTCAGCTATTTGAGGTAACTTGCAAAATTCTGGTACCTGGAGAAAAACAGAGCTTCAAGGCACTTTTTAATATAACAAATGTCACAGATCTTTGACAGTTTTGCAAAACAATTTGTTCCAAATGACAAAAAACACATCAAAATTATATGCCTAAAAATGCACACTTACCTTGCTTGGACAGATTTTATAAAAGGGTGTGTGTTATGTGTGTCATTTTTCCCAGCCTGATCCCTCTTGATACTGGACATTGCTCCATAGTTCAACTAACATGGCCAATATAGTCTGGGGATCAGAAGAATTGAAGTCCAATTTCCTTGGAGGGTACCCAGTGGGGAAGGCTGTGTTAAGCTTTTTGCCATGCTATTTAAGAGAATTTCTGTTATATATACAACAGGAAAAAAAAGTGTACAGAGCGCAGTGCAATAAACCATTAAACAGGCTTAATTCCCTTTTATTTTAATGAGATGCACAGTCTGATCCGTTCACTGGAGTTCCCTCCAATTAAAATTGAATTGCAGCCTCAGGGACACTGAATTACATATTGTAATATTGTACCCCAGAATACAGTTTCCTCTTATTGGGATATACTTTGGGAATGATTAATTGTTCGACACACTGTTGCATTTCAGTTGACCTGTGATACAACAATGTTAGAATAGGAGGCCACGCAGAATGCTGAAGACTAAATCATTAGCCATATTTATTAAATTGGTAGCCTCTCCTCTATTCCTAGACTTATTAATTCATTGATTTAATATTTTCTTAACTCTAGAACAATTGCCTCCTGATTTTTTTCATGCAGGAGACCTATAGAGGCATACTTCAAATCTCCCATGCAAACCAATCTTGCCTCAGGCTCATCTTCAGTAAAATAGAGCACCTTGCAATCTCCAATTTATTTCATATACATATGTGTAGCTTTTCCAGGATTAATCCTTTTTAGGATTAAGCTAACAAATTCTAAATATTTGAACTATTTGTATTGTTCTTAGGCAGTCAGAGACATCCTTCACCCCCGAAAATAGTAGGATTTGGCAAATGGCAAAAGAACTAACCTGCTTTCTGTGTTTCTTTGTGATTTCATCTTGCTCTTTGCTACCTCCTGAATTAATCAGGGGGAACACTTCTGTGTCTTCAGAAAGTCTTCTTCCTCTGCTAGCTGTGCTCTTCAAGTGATTTTGGTTAACTATGAAACAGACAGGAAAACAGAGATCCAAAATTACCTTCCTTCTGTCTAGCCATGGTTAATTCTCATCAAAATCTATGAAGGAAACTATTATAACTGAATTGAAGATTGAATCAGTGGTCACTTGGTGATTGGCTATGGATATCACATTGGAAATGGAGCCCACATGACAGAATACTCCTTTATAAGTTTACATGCAAAAAAACCAGCATAATCTTTTTCCCTGATATACTCCACACCACACACTTTTGGGGGTATAAAACTCTCAGGTGGATACTATTTACAAATTATTATGTTCAATACAAATTACACTACTATGTTCCAGTTGTGGCTTGATCATTTCAGCAAGGATTAAACCATTTCTTTGTAAGGAAGCTCTCAGATTATAAAAGGCAGCTATGTTGGGCAATGTAATGCCTGAAATAGTTTTATATTATGGTAGAATATGGTTTCCAACCAAACATTATATCAGCTGGCAAAAAACAGTTGTATTCCGTGAGAGATGTTGCAGTATTTACTTCTGATATAAAAGAGGCTATTTACTAGAAAGCAAGTATAATATAGCAGAGTGTGGCCCCATGGTGATATTTGTTGGTTTTTGTGCTTAATTAAAAAAAATTCCAGCAGAGGGAGGTATAATGACTGTGTGTGCATACCATGCTAATCCTCTGTTACCTTGCTGCACTTTATTCAATTAGCTCAATGTTCTCAATCCACATAATACTATGAACATTTATTTGTTTGCTCATTCATTAGTTCTTCTTTCCTCCAGTACAAATCTAGGTCTTCCTGATTCTAGTCAAATTTCTGGACTGCTTACATTATGCAGACTTTATTTTTACCAGACAATAAGTACAATGTAGCTGGCATTTCGGTTTGTGGTTCAATGTGTCATGTACACAAATATACAAATACAACCATCCTGCAGCATCTTATTTCCTGTATTTATTACTACATGGAATGTAGGAATAAATACCTGGAATACCAAATACCTCTATTTGAATGACAGAAAAACTGGTGCCATTAATGGTTCGCAACTACCCACTGCCTCTACAAATAAAAATATAGTGGTTGCTTTTAATTTGGTTCATACATTTGCAGCATCTTCTTACCACTGTATGTGATCTTTTTTCCAGGAAAGGAACCACCATAGAAATTCAAATGGGATTGCTCACAACAAAATTCAGAGGTGTCAATTTGTGTATTTCCCAATAATGGAAAATTTACTGATTGTTTTGGCATTTCACAGTTATGTGACTCCTTCTTGGTCTTTCCATCTTGGTAGCGTTCTACCCCACTGTCCTAAAAGGAGGTAAACAAGACCACTTGAAAGGCTGCATTTAAAAACCAGCAAAGAGGAAAAAACCCAACTGTTCTATTCATAAGAAAATAAAGAGTCCTCTTGCACTAGCAGTTTATAGCATCATCTAACCACCACTATGGGAAGGCAAAGCTGCAGTGATATACAGTAGCACCACAACAATGGCTGGATGTGCTATAAATTGCTAGCCTGTCCTGATGAAAGACATTTCTGTTCTATCCCTTTGTTCTGACAATGGTCAACCAGATACCAACAAAAAGCTCACAACACAATATTAAGCTCATAGCATTCTGTTGGTTGTGTTGCTCTGCAACTATTATTGAGAGGAATACTGTCTCTAATACGGGTAAGATAATGAAACAGTCATTAAGTATTTATTTATTTATTTGATTTGTCAATCACTTACAAGATAATAGGTATAAGTATAAACATAGTTATGTTGAAATGGATACATATAAGAAAAATAAAAAGAAACAATAGGACAGGGACGGTAGGCATGATGGTGCGCCTATGCACGCCTCCTACAGACCTCTTAGAAAAGGGGTGAGGTCAATAGTAGACAGTTTAAGGTTAAAGTTTTTGGGGTTTGGGGAAGAAACCACAGAGCAGTAGCCTCAACTTCCATTAAGCAGCCCTTGACGTATCCTCCTCAGATTTGTCCAATTCCCTTTGAAAACTCTCACATTGATGACTAATATTGTGTAAAGCAAAACTTCCTTTTATCTTTCTTCATTAAATGAACCCCAGACATCAGCTCACGCTATCTGTGGGGAAGCTATATCCCAATATCATTTTGGAGACTCACCATGAGTATACTGGGGGCTTAAGTATGAGGATATACACATTTTGTTTTGAATCTCCCTATTTTTTCCCATCTTATAAAAACTGAGAAGGAGGGGAGAAGCAAATAAGAGTTCGCTATCAAGCAAGTGCTAATAATAAATATAACTATAACACAATAGTAGTAGTAGTACCATAGTTAGTAGTAGTGGTAGTAGTAAAATGATTGCAGTTTCTTACTATAATACTCTTTGTGATTGCAGTAAATTGTATGTAAAACATAAGATAACCTTAAAACAAAGGCAGGAGGGAGAGGCTGCAATTCATCTCCAACTTCCTATGTTCCTCCTCTCCCATCCCATTACATCATCACACCTTCACTTGTTCTAGGATATATTCCTTTCCAGCCAGCTATTAGACAGAGGCCTAACTAAAGTAAAGGAGCTTTTTAACTGCTGCCCCTCTTCTTTGGACCAGCCTCCTCCCCCTTTTTAAAGCCTCACTAAAGTGGACCCTAGAAAAGTCACAACTTTTTTCAGCAGGCCTTGGGGACTGGCAGGTCATGAGACTTTCCTGCTGAGGTCTGATGCTCTATGTTTTGAACTGAGTCTGTTTATTGTCTCTAGCAACAAAATGTGACTTAACAGTTATTCAACCTTGATGAAAAACAATTATGGAATGGCAGATGTAAGCCATTCAGACCCAGTGACAATAGGAACAGCACAACAGGTCAGCAAATACATACATCCCCACATATGTCCTCTGAGGCATTCAAGCCACCTTGCATCTCTGCCAGGTCATTCAACTCTTTGTTTATTTTGTTGATGGGAAGAGGACATCATTAAGCAGTTGGGAGCTAGAGAAACTATTTGATGAGGAAAGAAAGTATAATACCTCAGAGATCTGCCAGTGTGCCTCATTCTGATTCCAGATGCTTTCTCTGGAATGCTGTGGTTGAAGATGAAAACTCAGTTTTCTTACAGAAATTCTTAAAGGGATTCGACCTGTTTCTCTTGCATTATGTTCTGCATCATCTTTCACCAGGCAGGCTTTATTTTCTGACTTTTTATACAATGGAGGACCAAGACCTAAGAAGTAAGGAACAACACAACCCTGAAATAAATGACCAAAGTGGCTGCACTGTACATCAAGGAACAATTATGATTCAGCTTAATCTTGTCTGTGCTAGTCATAAATACGTCTAAGCATGTTCAGTGGGTCACTCCTAAATAACATGTTTTCCCCCAAATAAGACCGGGTCTTATTTTCTTTTGACCCCTGAAATAAGAACTTGGCCTTATTTTGGGGAAGGTCTTATTATTTTTGAAGTGCCGGAGGTGGCAAATGCGATCTCCTCATGGCTGCTCAGCCCCTTAACTGCAGCCCGTGGCAAGCGGCCTGCAGATCACCTGATCCAGTGAGGGCCGGAGGTTTTGTCTCTCTGGGTACCTGGAGATGTTTCTGGCACAATCGTGCTAGCCTTAGTCCTGTTGACCTGTTAGTGCCTGTCAGTTGGCTTCCAGTGCCAGAGACAGAGGCGGGGAAGGGAAGCAGCTAGGCTGCTGTTGCCACTGGGGTACGTGGAGTAAGACGGGGCTCCTCTTGCCATCTTACCTGATTTCCAGCTCCATTGTGTTTCTCACTGTTGTGTTCAGGGAAACAAATTTGTGGGACTACCATAAAAAAACTTCTCACAAGAAGTTGGAATTAATTGATTGAATTCACAAGAAGTTTTTTTTTACGGTAGTTCCATAAACTTGTTTCCCTGCACACAATGGCGAGGACCGTGACGGGGCTGGAAGTCAGGTAAGATGGCAAGAGGAGCCCCGTCTTGCTCCAAGAGCCCCAATGGCAACAGCAGCCTGGCTGCTTTCCTTCCCAACCATCTCTGGCTCTGGAAGGCAACTGACAGGCACACGCTCAGTTGCTCATTCATCCCTCTCTCTCCCTCTCCCTCTCCCACTCGACCGCTGAGATCAGCAGGCCAGATTCAGTGAACTGAATACGCCCCTGCCATCCAGGAGGAGAACAACATGAGAAATGGGCTCTCTTGTAGCGCCTCATCTCTCTCTTTTCCTTCTGGGTGGCAGTGGTGCATCCAGCTCACTGAATCTGCTGATCTCAGCTGGCAAGGGGAGAGAGACAGAGAGAGAGAGGGAAAGAGATGAATGAGCGACTGAGCGTGTGCCTGTCAGTTGGTCATCACAGAAGAGTTTAACAGTTTGGCAGGCTTACTATAGAAAACAGGATTCAATACTCCAGGATCCTGTTCCAAAACTCCTTAGGGCAGAGTTCCCCAACCTTTCTGGTTTTGTGGACTGGTGGGTGTGGGGGGGAGGGGATGGTTCCGCACGAGTGGCCTGCAAAGGTGTGCATGTGCAGCTCCATTTGCACAAGCAGCAGGCATGTGTACCACCACTCATGGAAATGGAGCATGCTCGTCCATGCTTATCCATGCTCATGCAAGTGGGGATGCATGTCCACAGTCCAGTTCCAAATGGCTCATGGCCGACTAATAGGCTGCAGCCCAGGGATTGGAGACCCCTGCCTTAGGGAATTAAAGTTAATTGAATTGTACTTGGAAACAGACTTGCAGGCAGATGGGGAAAAAGGAGTCACATATCCCCAGAATTTTTCCCCTATTACATTTGAACTTTGAAAACCAATGCAGTAATTCCAATCTCACAAATGTAAAAACCTGACCAAACGAGGAGCAGATATAGGAGATACTCCAAACCATTTCTGGCAGCAATCTTGGAGGCATCTGCAGAGCAGCAAAGGGAGAGTAAATAATTTTACACATTTCCATCATCATTGTGATGTAAGCATATAATTATGCCTTTTGTGTGATGATATCAGGTGTGTTGCCCCTTTGACATCTTCCTAAATTGTTATGGATGTCTTTGCAAAAATTAAAATCCAAAATTAAAAGATATGTATTTGCACTGTACCTGAATAAGTCTGTTCTTCTAGTTCACTTTGTGAGTACAAATAAGGAGTGTAGAAAATATGTAGATTATACTTTGGTGGAATAGCTGATAGATCCTGTAACTTCTTCCTGAGAGCAGCTGCATTTTCCTTAAACAACAAGGGGTCACTGATATAACCTGAAAAATATACAGCATACACCTGCCGTTGGGTAAAATAACTCAACACTGATCTATCTATTGAGTATTGTCTGCAATACATCAACTAGGAATGGAAATGGATTGAAACAGAGACACTTTGCTCACAAAGCATATGTTTTAATTATTTAAACAGAGGATGGGCATAGCATATGAGGAAAGAGCAAAATATTTTCTCTCTGCAAATTATTATTAAGCACAATTTGTCATCCAGGAATGAAGCAATTTGGGCCCAATCTACTCTCAAGTATAATGCTATTTTCTTCTATTTATTTGAACTGATTCTGTAATGAAAGTCAAGACTGATCTAAAAATATATTTTCTACATTTTATTTTCTGTCTTTTAATATGACTATGGAGATTCTCAGTCATCCAGGTCATGGTTGTCCCAAAGGTGCTTTTTTTTTTTTCAAGAGGCAACTGGACTTTCTGTTTTTTCTTTGAAGACGTTTCACTTCTCATCCAAGAAGCTTCTTCAGCTCTGACTGGATAGTGGACACAAGCGAAACATCTTCAAAGAAAAAACAGAAAGTCAGTTGCCTCTTGAAAAAAAAAAGCACCTTTGGGAGTTTTCTTATAATACTAACCTGCATTCTGAAGCTTTTGCAAAACACTTGGATCCCAGCTCTGAGCAAGTTTGAGGAGGTACCTCTTGGCTGAATAGCCTGGTCTCATCGATTTGTCCATCTCACAGTCTGAATCTCTCAGGAAGTACAGATAGGGCTGCTGAGCAATTCCTTTCTTATCTCGCCACAGCTTTAATATGAAAACAAAATATCGAAAGCTCAAAATGGGTGCTTCTACATAAACTGGGGAACAGTAGATTTTATTGAGTTTCCCCCCAACATTTTTTTGAAAGTATTGCCAGCTCGCTGAGTTAGAGAGGAAACAATGTAGTGGTTCAGACAGACAGATAAAGGAGAGAGCCTCACTATGGGTTGGGCTTGGGGATATCTGAGTGTTCTCAAATGCCAAAGCTATCTATTATTTCAGTTTAATTGCTAATGTTTATTTTATTGCACTGGTTCTTATTTTTAACCTTACTGAAAAACAAAGTAAGCTGGTCAGAATTCTTTCATATAAATCCTTCTAAATAAATAAATAATAGAAAACTACAAAGAGCCAAATGAATGTGAAGGTAGACACATTGTATATTGTAAGAGCAGGTTAGAAAATAGCCAGGCATATATGGCTTTTGCAGCACACGTTAAAAACAATATTTTGAATTTTCAGTGTATTTTGGACTGGAAAAAAATCAACTCTGAATCTTGCCTTTTGGCTAATAGCTGTGAAATAATCAGCTCTTTCAGTAGTTTTGCAACTGGTCTTGAAAGTTTTGCAATTTTTTATATAACAAAGCAAGAATACTTCAGTCTTTCAAATTTATTTGAAAAGATATCTGTGCTATAGTAAAACCAAGAAGAACAGCCTAATATTCCATGCAGAAAAGTGCTCTTTATTTCTCTTGAGAGAAGGAACTCCCATAGGAATACCCTGTAGTAAGATGGCCAGGCAATAAATTTAATAAATAAATATAAATAAATAAATTAGACTTCCAGGAAAATCCAGATCCAGGTGGGGATTTTGTAAATTTGCCTGTAGGGGTCTCTGCATGCATATCTCACTGGATTAGGAGCAGCACCTAATTGTCCAGCCTCAGTTGGATAAATTCCTGCTGGACTTCCAGAGAGATTTACAAATGTATGTAATATGCACAACATACCCCTTTTGGTTTCTGTAGGGTGACTGTCTTACAAAGCTGAGTAATCAGATGCATTCGTGAAAATGAATGACAGCTTTCTTTGGAGGATTGATGGGGAATCCTCACAGTAAAGAGTTATGAATAGTGAGAAATAGCCTCCCATATCTGGGATGTAAATATTCAGAAGAACACAAGATGGTAATATAGAGTTAGAACTTTATTTTGCTCTCCTCTGCCTCTGGAGGTTAAGTGGACTCTTTCAGCCCAGCCAGAGTAGACTTATAGGGGAACTATTTACATTGTCTAAACCTGTGATGGTGAACCTATGGCAGGCGTGCCAGAAGTGGCACGCAGAGGTCACCTGGAAGAACCCCACTGTGCATGCATATGCGCCCCCCGCCAGCCAGCTGATTGTCGGGTATTTGCCATGGATGCGTGGAGGGAGACGCATGTATGGGAGATGCACACACATGTGCAGAGGCATGCGGCATGTGTGGGGGTTGTGTGTGCATGCGCAGGGGCAGTGGGGGAGTCGCACATGCATTGCATCATGGGTGCAGGCTTGCGAGTGTGCACATGCGCACTTTTGGCACACAACGTGGAAAAGGTTAGCCATCACTGGTCTAAACCCTAAAGTAATATTTATAGACAATATTAGTTAATTCTTGAAGCAATGCTGAGAAAAGGAGAAAATAATTTTTATGACTCACAAGCACTTTATTTATTTATCAAAGTTATACATCAACCATCTCACCTAAGTGATTCCACTTAGGGGACTTATTGATTAAAGTGACTTTAAGTTGAATGGAAATAAAACAATGTCAGCTGCTGGGTAAAATGACCTTCATGCTAATAGGACCTCTTAATCTTTTCGTTTTTTTAGGAAGTGCTTATTTCATAGTGCATTAATAAGCTTCTGCCTGCAACTTTTTAATTTAATTTTTTTTTCAACTCATGGAAGGAGCATCAGGTTTTTTTTTCTGGCAGCTAACATTTTATTTCCACTCCACACCCAATGTGCCATCTATTTTCAGTCTGAGACAAGAGAGGGGAAACAAAATGACAGTAATTAGAAGATTATGGGTTCCCTCCTACACATAACTATGTTGGATTGGTACAAGACCTGGGCCAATGATGAAGCACTAACCACCAGCAATGGATTACTATGAAGTTAAATTCTCTAACTAAGAAACAATGGGCCTTGTCAAGTCACAGGAATTCTGCTACTACTTAGAGATACCACATGCTGACATTGAGTCTAATCTCAGACCCTTAAGAATACATGGGAACAGAAGTTACATTATTGACTATGATCATATTATATATACTTGTGAATACAAATCCATCCTAATAGATTGATGTACTATGGAAAAATATTTTGGGTATTTTCAACTTTTCTGTGATTCTGTGGGGCTCTAGGAAACATTTTGTCTCTGATCAGATGAAGCTGGAGGAACAGAAAGAGAATGGATTGTGCTTAGAGATGACTGGGGGCGGTGTCTTTGGTTCAGAATCCTTTCTTGAGCAGAAATTGTCTTCTGTAATGATTTGAATAGTTAATTTTATTGTCATATTGGCTATTAAATCTTTCCAGAACTGAGACAATTCCATTGAATCAGAAGCTGGAATAAATCAAGATTTTCTTTAGTTTCCATTTTATTTTAAAAATCCCAAGTCCTGAGATTGGGTTATCTCATGAAATATGCTTCCTGATTCAAATTCCCTTCTCCAAATTGCAGTGACAAGGCAGGCCTTCTCTTCTTCAGTCCCTTTATCATATGAATCAAGATTTGAAAAGCAGAGAGTTGACAAAACCTCTTGGTTTCTAACTAAGTTGAATGCTACTTTGCCTCCTACTTCTAGCATGTACTGGGGCTTTGTTAAGAAAATGACTCAAGTGGATTGAGTCGAAGGAGACTGTTTGTTTTCTTTGGTATCAGCCAGTTATTTTCGGTTCTCAGGTTTCAGTTTATACACTTGCGCTCCAGGGTATTTTATAGGCATTTCAATTCCAGTACTTTATAGTTTCAGCAGCAAAGCTTCAATAAGTCCAGAAAGTAACAGTTTAATGTGGGAAGAGCTTAGCACTACTACTAGTTTATTTCAAACTTTGTCTCATTATCATTCATGCTCATAGTGGCTAACCATTTAAAATGTAACCATAAAAAAGGAATTTAAATATTTCAAATTGTGCCATTTAAAATAATTGGTCAAAGAGAACATTTTCAATTGAGACTAATGCAAGTTCATGGCTATGACCAGATGATTGTAGCCCTGCTCCTTTTTTGGTGCATGGATGCATATAAAAAGAAGCAAAGCTTTCCTTTTATGGTTGTGGCTGCCATCTTGAATTCTTTGACTTTACCTTCAGGCACTCCTGATTTTAGCTCCTTTTCCTGAAAATAGAAAATAAACCTAAACCCAATTCCCGATGGATGTCACACATAGGAATGACACAGGATGGCAGCCCATGGAGAGTGCTTATTATGGATGTAACCTTTGGAGTACTTCTAGATGAGGCTTTTAACACTAAATCTCACTGATTTATAGAACTGGAAACATTTTCTTGACATATGTAATATTTCTATGCTTTCCTAACATTTCCTTCCTCACTTTTTTAATGGAAAAATTGTTAAGGAGAAAAGGCCAGAATAATTGGGTAGTGTGCCACTTCAGCTCTTCATTTAGAATGTTTACAGCTGCCTCTACAGGCAATTTAGCCCAATCTGCTTCCCACCTCCCAAATTCCTTGCAATCTTCTAAGGATAATCTTTGAGTCAGTCTTTCTGAAGTAGACTTCAGGCAGCAACTCATTATTTAAGACAGATCTCTGCTATATCTAGTCCAATATTTTTTTCTTGACTGAGGTAGATCAGTAACTTAGAGATTGCATTACACAGATTACAACTTTTAGCATAAAGTATAAATAGGCCTTTTGGGGAGGGAATACTTTTTAAAATAAAATTTAGATACAATGCACAGCATCGAACAAACTCTCCATACCTCATATACTGCAAATGGGAAGTTAAATAACATATTTTATAAATTAACCAACAAAAAAAATGTTTTCCATGTCTGTAATTGACTTAGAAAAGTAGTAATTTTCTACACCCTGCATCCACATCTTGGAAGACTCAAGAGTAGCTTTGAAAAGAAAGGTCTAAAAATGCAGCCTCCTAAGACTATTTCCTGGTAAGAAGGCAACCCTGTGCCTGATCTCAGCCTATGCTCTATCTTAATTTTCCGCCTCCTCTTATAGCAACATGCATTGAAAGCGCCTGGAGTGCCCCTGCTGGACTCTAATTGTTGGTGGCAATCGGCACAGAATTTCATCTGTTTCATCACAGCAGTCCTCTTTTTCTGCTCCTTTAATCTTTGACAGATGCAATGCATGGGTACACTGAAGAACTCATACCACAGGCAGTGATTTTAGAGGCGTCTTTTGTCCACAGTCAAGGCATGGTGTCTGCACTGGGCTGGACAGTATTTTTGAATGGATCTCTTCCCAGAGTACAAAACAGAGAACTGACTGGAAGGGAAATGTATTCAGATATGCCAAATGCTTCTGGCTGAAGCATCTGGAGGCATTCCTGAACTGTTTGAGATCCCATTAAAGGAGCCATTGAAGGGCATTTGTTTCAAACTCCCAAATGTATAAACAACGGCCTGAGCTAGATTGTCTTCTCATGAAACCTAAAACTCATAATTCTGGACAGAAGAACAAGGGCACAAAGCAATGAATCGAAGTACTTTCCCAAAAGATACTTCTAAAAACATTGGTAGGGAGACAAGCCATGAAGCAATAGATATGTTAATACATAGCTACCTCTTTCCCATGAAAGTGATTCTTGCTTAATTAGATGTGAAATTGACATTTGCTGCTCCTGTTGTTATTAGTAGTGTTAATTTGATATACACAACACGTTTCTGACCAAAGCCACCATTATTAATGTAAAATCTGATAAAAGAAATAAAAATCATCATAAATTACATTTTTTTCTCTTAAGTGGGGAGCTGAGCTCACTTGTAAGATAAATGCATTCCTAATGGCACTCCCCGGTGCCTAACTAGGGGCCTCCAAATGTGAGGTCTTCTCCAAGAGAGCCTCTCCTATTGACTTTAAAGTTTCATATTGAGACATTACAATAACCTGTTGAGCTGGGAGAGACAGGCAACAAGCCTTGAAATGTTCAAATTGCCCCCTTAAACTATACTAACAAGTAACTGGCACCCTTGGGGATAATACAATTCCAGTGACTAAATTAGTCAACCAGGAAAATACTGTGGACACAACATACTTAGATTTCAGTAAGGCATTTGACAGAGTAGACCACAACCTACTTCTTGGTAAGCTAGAAAAAAGTGGGATAGATAGCACCACCACCAGATGGATTCTCAAGTGGCTGACAAACTGTACTCAATGAGTAGTCCTTAATGGGTCTAAATCTACATGGAGGATGTTATATATGACCAAATATGGCCAAAGAGTGGAGTCGGCTAATAGACTTCACTCATTGGCCCAGCCGCTGGTGGGAAAAACAAAGTCCCATCAGTGGCTGAAGCTTTGGAGCCAGCAGCCAGTGCCTGCTTCGGTTGGGCAACTTTTTTCGAACTGGCTTCAAATAAAGTCTGCTTACCAGTCCTGCTGTGTCCTGCTTCTCCTTTCCCACGCGGACCCATCTAACAGAGGGAAGTAAGCAGTGGGGTGCCACAGGGTTCTGTCTTAGGCCCAGTACTCTTCAATATCTTCATTAACGACTTAGATGAGGGAATAAAAAGGGAACTTACCAAATTTGCAAATGATACTAAGCTGGCAGGAATAGCTAACATCCAAGAAGATAGGCTCAAGATCTAGATGGATCTTGACAGACTTGAACAGTGGGCCACATTGAACAAAATAAAATTCAATGTAGAGAAAAGTAAAGTCCTACACTTAAGCAAGAAAAACCAAAAGTACACATATAGACTGGGTGAAACCAGGCCTAATAGCAGTGACTGTGAGGGATCTTGGAATCTTAGTGGACAGCCAGCTAAATATGAGCCAGCAGTGTGCAGCAGCAGCCAAAAAGCTTATGCAAGCCTAAATTGCATTAACAGAGGGATACAGTCAAGATCAAGGGAAGTACTAATACTATTAAGTATGGTCAGTGGGTCCCATTGAGAGACGAGGCTCAAGTACTGAACAACAGCTCTTTATTAAGGAGGCAGATTCTGAGACAAAAAAGCCTAGCCGCGGCAGCCCTTTTTATAGAGCCGGCTGTGGCTAGGCAGCCTATGACAGTCTTTTGAGCTTGCCGCGCTTGGTTTTACCCAATCGCGGCAAACCCCATATGAACCAATCAGGAATGCTTATATCATCCAATCATGGCCCGGCTCTTCCGGACCAATAGGAATGCAGGTCTACAAGCCTGCTAGTATGGAACACCCCTCCCCTCTTGGTTCCGTCCAAGGGGCGGGGTAACGTAGTCACGCAAGTAGGCGGGTCTTCGTACCTGCCTACTTGACTTGCGCGGTTCATGATGTCTCTGGTCGTCATCAGGTTCAGACGGGCTCCGCGTCGCTCTCAAGCTTCTCGATGGAACCGCCTGGAAGGGTGAGCCAGGCCTATAGCTGCGACTCCCGCCTGGTGACTCCAGGTTGGTTGAGTCATTCGCTCTGCTGCTCCCACCTGAGCTCTCTGGGCTGGTAGAGCTTGTCCGGCTGCTACTTCCAGGCGAAGTACCCGTCTGCCACAGTTCTCTGCTGGTTGGTAAGTATTGTTGGTTTAATGTTTGGTCTTTATTTAATGTGGTGGGGGTGTTCTGCTTGCACAGGTGTCAGTTCTTTTTCAGAGTTTGAGGTTCCTCCCCCTCTGATTTCTTGGTTAGAGTCTGTGAGGGGAAGGGTGGCAAGCCTGGACCTAAGCTGGTCAATATGTCGTTTCCAACACCTACCATTGGTGGTTTCGAGGCGGTAGGAGCGAGGGCCCGTGACTTGGGTGATTTTTGCAGGGAGCCATAGTGGGTCCCCTGTAAAGTTTTTGGCAAAGACAGTGTCACCTATTTTGAAGGTGCGGTGCTTGCTGCTAGAACCAAGGGGTTTCTCCGGGGTGTAAGCAGGGTGCAGGCGATCCAGAGGTGACCGGAGTCTTCTGCCCATCAGCAATTCTGCTGGGCTTTTGTTTGTAGTGCTGTTTGGTGTGATGTGTTGTAATAGGAGCATTTTGGTGACTTTCTCGTGGATGTTGCCATGCTCCAACTTTTGAAGAGTTTTTTTTTGTAAATTGAACCATGCGTTCAGCTCTGCCATTCGCCTCCGGGTGAGCTGGCGAGGTCAATGCGTGTCGGATGCCGCAATCTGCCAAGTATTGCTCAAAAGCCAATGCGGTAAACTGGGGTTCAGTGTCAGATACTATCACATCTGGCAGACCATGCATGGTGAAAAGTTTATTTAATTTCTTGATGACCACTTCCATGGTGGTAGATTTCATTTTGCTCACTTCGAGCCAATTCGAATAAGCATCAACAGTTATTAAGAAGGTATGTCCCTTGGTTGGCCCTGTGAAGTCGATATGGATGTGCGACCAAGGGCCTCTGGGTGTCTCCCATTCTAAAGGTGGGGCTTTTGGGGGAGCTGAGCGAGCCTCTTGGCATCTGTTACAAGCGGCGACCCAGGTTTCAATTTGTTTGTCTATGCCTGGCCACCGAGCGTAGCTCCTGGCCAGGGCTTTCATACGTACAATGCCTGGGTGCCCCTTGTGTAGCAATTCTAAAACTTTTTTCTCTAATGTTTCTGGTATTACCACCCAGTCTCCCCACAAAACGCAACCCCTTTGTGAGAAGAGTTCAGTTTGTTGGTTTTTAAATGGCTTAAAGAGTTTGTTTTGCTCGCTGTCAGGCCAGCCCCTCTCCACCCAGCTGAGGACTAGCGCCAAGCATTTGTCCTTCCTTGTTTCATGGGCAATGTCATGCGCGGACAATGGTGGCATTGATAACGTTTCGATTTGCAAAATTGGTAATGTGGGTGCTGGGTCATCTTGCACGTCTGGTAAGGGGGAGAGGCTTAAAGCATTGGCGTGCGAGATAGTCTTGCCTGGGCGATGTATTAATTGGTAATTATAAGCGGCAAGAAATTCAGATCATCTTGTCATTCTAGGTGACAGGATGTGTGGAGTGGGTTTGTTACCCACCAAAATGCCAAGCAGGGGTTTATGGTCCGTAATAATCGAAAATGTCCTACCATAAATGTATTCATGGAATCTTTTTACTGCTGAGACGATGGCGAGGGCTTCTTTGTCCAGCTGGCTGTAGTTCCTCTCCGGCTTGGACAGGGTTCTGGAAAAAAATGCAACGGGAGCCTCTGTTCCATTTGGCAAAGTGTGGCTTAAGATTGCGCCAACACCAAAAGGTGATGCGTCGCATGTAACAGTCAGTGGTAGGGTTTCATTGTATTGAATGAGGACTGCGTCTGAAGTCAAAAGGTTTTTTATTTGCTGAAAAGCGTGTTCCTCTCGCCGTCCCCAAGCCCAGGAAGCCTTTTTATCGAGGATTCTGTGCAAGGGTTCCGCGACAGTCGCTTTCTGGGGTAGGAAAATATTATAGAAATTAATGAGTCCAAGGAAAGCTTGGAGGTCCGTTTTGTTTTTTGGTCTGGGGGCTTCTTTGATGGCTTTTAGTTTTTTGTTGGTAGAGTGAATTCCCTGTTTGTCAAGGAGGTATCCGAGGAATTCAACCTGTTCGGTGCATAATTGGCACTTCTCTTTTTTTACTTTGAGGCCAGAGTCTTTAAATTTTTGAAGGACTGCCCTGAGTCATTTTTCCAATTGTTTCTTATTGGGGGCTGCTACTAAAACGTCGTCGAAATAGGGTATGACTCCTTTAATTCCATGCAGCAGTCTTTCCATTAGGCTCTGGAAAACCCCTGGTGCGACGCTGACTCCAAATTGGAGTCGGTTGCATTTAAATGCCCCTCGATGTGTCACGATAGTTTGAGCCTCAGCGGTTTCAGCATCAACCGGCAGTTGTTGATAGGCTTGTGCCAGGTCGAGCTTTGCAAAGATTCTGCCACCCCCCAGTGAGTGTAGGAGATGCTGGACTACCGGCACGAGGTAGGCACTCTGCTGCAAGGCATGGTTGAGGGTGGCCTTGTAGTCTCCACAAATTCTCAGAGAGCCATCTGGTTTGATGGGGGTGACAATTGGTGTTTCCCATCGGGCATGGTCGATAGGTTCTAATACGCCTTGCGCTATGAGCTTATTTAATTGCTCATCTATTTTCGGCTTGAGTGCAAATGGCACTCGGTGCGGTTTGAGGCGGATGGGAGCGATGTCAGGGCTAATATTAAAGGAGATTGGGGACCCCTTGTACTTGCCTAAGGTGTCATCAAAGACCTCTTGGAAGTCTCGTACAAGCGTCGCTTCCCAGTCTTCGTCATCTGTGTGGTTGATGCCTGCCATCTCGATCCCCAGGGGTGCGAACCATTGCAAGCCGAGTAGGCTGGGGCAGTCCTTATCAACGATTGTGAGTGGTAGGATGCTGGTATGGTTTTTAAAAGAAACCTTGAAATGTCCTGTACCAGCAACTGGGATGCGGTTCCCTTGATAGCCTCTTAAAATCAGTTTCTGGTCGTTTAGTTCTTCGTGGCGTATGGTGGGTATCAGGCGTTTTATGGTCCACCAAGATACCATAGAGAGGTAGGAGCCAGAGTCTACTTCCATGGTGCATGGTTGGTTTTCGATGGCAATCTCAACACGTATCTTCCATGCGTCTATTGATGAAGCGTGGCCAATGATAACTGTTTGGTGCGTTTCTTCCCTTCTTGGTGCATCTATGAACTTCTTAGTTCAGCTATCCTGGCTCCATCTGTTGTCAGTCAGGCGGTCCCGGTTTTTGGTGGGATTGCCATTTAGTCTTCTCGGGCTGTTTCCTTGACGCCGGGGGCTGAAATTTCTTTTATTGAGGCATACTTTGGTGATGTGCCCTCATTTCTCACAAAAATGGCAAACAGCGTCCAGGAATTTGCATTCAGAACACAGGTGATTTCCTCCGCAGCCGGCACATTGGTACCTCAACTTAGGACCGCGCCAGTCTTGCCGTTCGCGATCTGACTGAAGTCTGTGATTTCTTCCTCTTCGCTGTCAGAAGGGGATTCGATGTCGCCATGGTGGGTGGAGGCTGCAAGTTTTTCTGTTGCGGTGGTCATCTCGCCGGTTGAATGGCGGTCAGTTCCGTTTGAATGCCGCATTCACGCCGCTGACTTATGGGTGGCTTCGGCTGCGGTGGCTTCGGCTATGGCATCAGTGAGGGAGATGTCTCCTTTGGCCAGTAACCTGCTTTGAAGCATCAGGTCTTTCAGGCCAAGGACGACCCGGTCACGCATGGCCTTGTCCAGGTTAGCGAATCCACACAGACCCCC